AAAGAACCGTAATGCCCAAAGCCACTGATATAGAGGTGCCAAGTATAAGACTTCCACGTAATTTGGGTAAACTTATCTCCGCCGCATAAACTCCAGATGGTGCACTGGCTAGCCCCATGGTAATGCCTGCAAGGTCAAAAAAGTAAATCTCACAACTCTGATTTTGTTTGTTTCTCAAATGAAGTGCTCCTAAAAATGTCATTGGTAAAATGTTGAACAATATGAACACTCGACATTCAAAAATGCGTATAAAGTAGTTGACACTTACCAATAATAAATCGTGACACAAGCAACTGCCAGTAAAAATATACTGAACTTGTTGCACTTGGTGTGGCAAGCAGTGTCCAGGATGTGATACCCAGAATATTCAACACATAAAGAGTATGTTTGCGTCCAATCCTATCTAGCAGCAAACCCGACAATAGACCGCCCAATGGACACGACAATGTGTTGATAGAAGCAAACCATGATGCTTGTGTGGAATTCAAATACACCGTCTCCATTTCGCTTGTCAGCTGGCGCAGTACAATTGTGGGAATAGCTAGTGCCAAACCAGTTGACAGTACGCCCATATTGGCCAGTATAACCATCAATGCCTGTCGACGTACTGCACGTGATTGCTCACCCAAGGGCTTTCTTTTCGGTAACCGATCCAAATCACTAATAATATGTGGATTTTTGTAATCCCTTTTCTTGTGATGACCATTGTACAGCTGCTGTTGCTCCTCCTCTATTTCATGGTCCATTTTGCAGATCCTCTGAAAAAATATTTTAAGATCTTCCCATTATTTCTTCACTTGTATGACCTGTTCATTTTTAGAGTTCATGCTGACTATGCTAGAGATACTGAGATACTAAAGATCATCAAGATGTTTTTACTGTAAAAAAAGAAGGTATTAAACTAACTGTAAATAGATAAGAATTTAGCTCCCAATATTTGATATAAGAGAGCACAAAATCTTATCAGTATTTATTTCAGATAGCTGCTATAGTATAGGTATATCATATTGTACTTTTCATGTCAAATCTATATTTTACCCTCTGCTTTTATACAATTGCAGTCATGCCTCTGAGTCATAGAGATGCAATATACCGACTGATAAAACTGAGGAGCAGCTTCGGTGGTCTGATATTTTTCATTCTATTCTATTTATTTATATAATGAGTATGAGGAAGCACGAATGCGTACTAAGACAGATCAGACCTGGGTATAGGGTAACTGCTGGTTGAAACCTCTAGACAAGTTTTTTTATTCGTAATATTATTATCGCTCTCGCTTGAAAATCGTTCAAGGTGAGTCGAGCCGATTAAGTATTTAATGATAACAAATTCATCAAATAAAGGTTCTCTTGTCGAGAGTGTCTGACTGGGACATATCCTGTTCCCAGTTACTCGACAGAAAGTATTCCAAATTTATACATACGAGGCACCTGGACAAATATATACAAATACAAATACCGGTGATGCCACTTGCTGACTGTAATGCTGGCTGAAGCATACATTTGAATAAGTTCATTATACCTTTTAAACCTATATTGAATAGGTAGGGGGATACAAGATACATGTCCGATAAAATCAGTATAAGTACTGATACTTCTACACCTGATACACAAGATACTTTTAATGTAATGGATTTTAGTTGTTTATAAATAGCCATGGAAAAAAGCAACAATTAAAGAGCCAATCAACTTAATAAACACTAATAAATAATAGATTTGCGTAAGCGATTCTCTTCCGATCACAATTAACGGACACTCCAGAGCGGCATGAGTCCCAATAAATTTTTTTTTTCATATGTAAAAGCCATTCAATCCAAAAGAATATCACGTGCCTTATATGAAATAGTCACTTTCCAAAAATCTTTAAAAACTTGTTCCCCTCAATAAAATGAGAGCTAGAAAACCGGCTTAAATATAACAACGTCACGATTACACGGACCGCACAAAAGATCACTCCAAACAAACTATTTTAAACATACTTGCCTGACTTTTCTGTTTTGATAAATGGCGCAGACGCAAACGCTGGCGGCAGCAAAGTATTGGCTATATCGAAAGCGCTCCTTGGCAATCCAACATCAACGAGACGTTACGAACAACTAAAATTAGCTTGCCACGTTAAACGTCTCGCGAACTATAAGTAAGATCCCTCAAATCAAGAGTATGTGGCCACAAAACACCCTGCATAAACTAGATTGCCGCCGATTACACAAATATATATTATCTGTTCACAAACATTTTTAGTTTTACAGTTGAGAATTTTGTTGTTAGCAAGGTTTTTAATGTAAAACAATGTACAGATTTACTTTTTTGGTGGAATTAATATAGTATATAGATAAATATTGAGATTACTTTATACCGAATTATTTCTCCCCATTGAATCCACTTGTACAATACTATTATGCCGCTTCATGCTTTTAATGTAGAGGGTATCAAATCTGTCGGATTTGTATGAAAAGTTCTCTGATCCTCTCTTTATCTCTCGCGGTCTCTCTTTCTCTCCCCTACCGCTATATCTCTCTCCTTCACTCGACCACAGATGCTTTGCAGCAAGCAATAAAGTAGTGTAGACGTCATCAACCATTCGATTTTTTATGTCATGATCGTTTCAATCGTCGACAAAACGTTTTATCAAAAACAAAAGTTCAATCAATGTTAAAATAAAATGCTATTCTGTAACTCTGACAGCTTTTAATATATACATGTGTATGATCCAACATATAATTGTATAACTATTTGCTTGTGCCGGCTTATCAAGTGAGTAAAAGCTGCGACCCTCACAGGCAGTCCAAATTATATGCTAATAAATATAAAATAGACACACAAAGTAAAGTTTCCTTCATGTTGTAATATAGTAACTCACGTTATCTATTCAAAGTTATACTTAATCTGTAATAAGTTTGTATATTACACACTTATTCTTTTTCAACCTAGGCTGGCAGATGAAAATTGACTTTAAATAAACGAATTCGCTCTTTTCTTTTAAAAAATAAATATAAGTATACATTTACTTCAGCGTAAATATGATAGCTAATATTAATAAAAAAAAAAGGCCTGAACCTGTCAATCAACCTGTATTTTTAGTTAGATTAGATAAAAATTATTCAATTGGTCATATAATTTTCAAGTTGATTGAAAGAGCCGTTAGAAGGGCGAGTGTCATAGCAGCGAGAAAAATGTGCGTAATTCTGTTTTAACAGAGCTGTATTGAATGTAATCGAATAAAAATACTAACTAATGGCATTAGACAACACTAAAGCAAGTGAAAATATTGGATGCAAATTTCCTTTAGTAGCCAAGAGAATTGCATTTTATTGAAGTCTGTTGAGCACCGGGAACGTGTACACAACGCAAACGCCGCGGACACTCGACGCCATTCCAACGAATCATAAACATGGGAACCTTATCAATTCCTCTTGATAATTGCCTATAAACGTACAGAGACGTGTAAAATTATTAGAAAAATCATCATGTTGATTTGTTATGTGTCACAATATTAAAATATTTCCACTTGGTGTGTAAAGAAATTTTGTTTATGTGCGTTGTGTGTACTCGTAAGCGTGCGGTATATAAATACATATGTATATATGTTGTACATGCGTGTAGTCTCGCCTTGGCTCTCTGTTTGTGTCTGTCAGTATTCTGCTTAAAAGTTTCAATACAAAAGCAGCTATAATCATATTTGCATTCTCTGCAAATATATTTCGTTATTTTATCATTAAAACTTAATTCAATCAGCGCCTTAACTGGGGCGAAAATGTGCAGTAAATCAAATGGTGTATTTTTAGAGCTGTTGAATTCCAGGGCTGAGCGCATGCCTTCGTCGCCCAAATAGTACCCCATAAAATCACACACCAGCACACCAAAAGAGATTACAGTTACTTAAATGAATAATATGTATTGCATGGCTTGAGGCTGTCAATTTTTGTTATAAGTTAGATTAGATAGAAATGATTAAATTAAGTGTTACTCGTTTAATGGGCGAGTGGTTGAAAACAGAAGGCTGAGTGTCACAACAACGACAGCAAGGGTGAGTTGGCCCTTGTGCGCAAAACTCTTTCAACAGCACCGCAAACGATATTATCGAATAGTCTCCAACATTTAGGTATTAGTCAACACTAGATAAATAGAAAATATTGGTTGCAAATTTCCCTTTGAAGTTGAGAGAATTGTTTTCCTCAAGTCTATGGAAACCCGGGAACTCGTGAACAACATTTAGGCCTCATACGCGCGCGTGTGAAAATCAAACATACACATATATATACACATATGAACCCTAACCAACCAAACTCATGGAGGTTTATCAACTGTCTGCGAAAGTAAACATCAAAACAACATAGACGCGTTTTTTACTGAGAGAGCGACTCTGCAGTTACGGCCGCTGTGTTTCATAAATAGCAAGCGCCTTATTATTGTGTTAATTTGTATGGCACTGTTCAAGTGTTTAACAATATTAATATAACTTTAACGATGTTAAGAAAACATCTTCCATAATTCGGTTCATTGCGTGAGTGTGCTCTGCTGTGTATAAATACCTGTATGTGTGTGTGCCCCGCGTTCGGTCCTCTGTTTGTCTCAGCATCCTGTGAACAAGCTTACGCTTAAAAGCAATGCAAAAGCAGTTACATTCAAACGCAAAAATCTTTTACTGTCAACAATCTCCGAATTTTTAATTTTATCATCAAATGGATTGCCGACAGTGCTAAAACTGAGCCATCCTACAAAACCAAAAAAGAAACATTGTAGTGGTTGACAAACATTTCATGGCAGGCTCCATCTAGAGCATTCGTCACCCAAATAATATAGCCCATTAAAACCCACACCAGCACAACACAACGAACTATACTTTCAAGCGCGTTATACAGTGATTATCCCCTAGTAATTTTAAGGTATGCGTGTGCAGTGAAAATTCCGATTGACAATTTAGGTGGCATTCCTCGTATATCAGCAACAACAAATCTAAAACAATAAATAGAAACCAACAACAACAAAAAAGAAAGCTCACTGACAACGCATCAAAATGACTACAGATTTTTTATTTCCTAAAATTGCGGATTGCTCCTATGTGTCCTGTTACTGGTTAGTAGTATTCTTATGCTGCGTCGGCAGCCCAACCACAACAAAAAAATAAATATATATATAAATGCTTAATTTCTTAAAATTCATTAACAATGATCTCTTTTATTACAAACAAATAAAGTAAATAGTATATTTTGAACATTAGCCTTCTTCTTACATGAACATATGTTTGTATAATCTACAATATATACAATGGCATATTTTAAAATATTACGTATTTTTTTAAATTAAAACGTACGTCCATTGTTTTTTACTGGGGGAAGTTTTTGTGTTTTCATTATGTACCTTGTTTTGTGAGTTATCTGAGTTTTGGCATCAACATCCCAACCATCCGCCTGTTCTATGAATACTTTAATTTAACCCGTGCTCGTTTCGTGCTTTTTGCTCGTTGAAATTACTTGCTCTGCGTTTTAATTTACTCATCACTCGAGTCTAACTCTCTTATTCTTCCTATCGCGGCGCCGCAACCAGCTCCAAAATTAGGTCAAACGGTCATGTCCGTTAACAAAAGCAGTGTCAACGTATGAGGGTTGCGTGGGTTGTAATATTGGCCTGGCCACGGAGGGATTTCTTTTGTTGCTTTTTTATTATCGCGTGTAAAAGGCGCGTTTTACCTATAAAAAGGCTACAAACGGCAACAGGAAAAGCAAAAACGAATCAGTACACATACATATAACACATTACTTAGTATTATGCATAGTAGTGTTCATATTACAATTAGAAATGTCAATTGCAAAAAATTTGTTGGCAGGCTACAGCGGGCAACAAAATACTGTGAAGCCTTAAAACCTGTTATACATTCTTATACATACATACATATACTTAGCACTACATAACTATTAACGAAAAACATCAATAAAGTAAAGGTGTAATAAGGTTACATATGTATGTATATTAACATCGAATTTTCCCTAGCCCGCAAAAACAGTTTGTTAATTATTTTGTGAAATGCAAGTGTACTAACACTCAGATTTAACAACATTTTTTGTGTTTCATGTACAATGTTGCAATAAAATAAACACTTGCGCACTGTCCTGCTTGTTCTTTCTCTGTCATGCGCTCTGCCTTTCTCTCTGCGACTCTTATGCTCTCTATTCAGCTGATTTGCTCTATACTCTGCTCATTCTCTCTCTTGTTCTCTCACTCTCTTCTTCGCGCTATGTAAATTAGGGAATCATCTAAATAACTTTTACAATGTGTGCTAACCATTAAACACAAGGTAAGCATGTAGTAGCCTTCTTAGATTCAAACTAATAAGTTTAAACGTCAGCTTGTCATATTGATTCGATAACCCATCCAACCCATCAAAATTGACAGACTATTTTGATTCTTATCGCGAAAGTAATTTTTAAACCACAGGAAATTTAAATAGCTGATTATATTACATATCTGTATTTATGTAAAAAAAACTTTTTGTATAGGCATTGCGCTATTTTGTTGCTCACCCCCATCCAACTGTTGCTCATTAGTTTTACATTGGCAAGCATACAACGTCTCAATTTATTGAATATATTTGTAAGTAGAAAATATTTTTTTTTGTTTTATACCCCCGCCCCTAATCCAAATCAATAGCGAATTCTTGCAAACTTTTGTATTCTTTACCATCAAAAGTCGTGTTCCTTTGGCGTGTCTATTGTGTGAAAATAAAAAAAAAATTTTTGAATTATTGGAACCTTAAATGTAATACTAAAATGTACATGTTATACATTTTTACTAAAGAACCACTACAAAACTTCTTAGAAGTGAACGCACTGAAATGCACACACACAATGTCGTCATTATCTTTGCGTATTCTATAACACGAACACACACTGCAGTGTGCTTATCTATATTATATAAGGGTTCATTCGTTTACAGCGAAGAGAACGTTTGGAAGTTATGTGAGCAGGTTAAACGCACGCGCCCTGAGGAGTTGAGCAAATGCTATGCAGTATTTGTGTCGAATGAGGGGCGAACTGTACCGCTCTGGCGCCAAAAAGCCGGACGTGGCGATGATCAAGTTGTGATATGGGTAATTCGTCTTGCAAAACCATGCATATACGTTTATAAACTGCACGCTAATACTTCATTTTATTGACAGGACTATCATGTCTTCTTTATGCACAATCCCTTGCCAAACCGCTGTTTGGTATTCGATTTGGATACCACACTACCATTTCCCACATATTTTCATAAATACGTTACAGAGACTTTCCGGTCCGATCTCGCACTGCGACCGGAACATCACAGGTAAATAATGCATAAAACTGGTGACACTAGAAGCTTAAATTTCTTATTTTTCCAGATTTTTCAGAGTCATTCCCGCAGATACATATCTAATTGAGTTCTCATCGGATCGTCGACACATGCGTCGACCAGATGGTAGCTGGATTAAGCCGCCACCGTCATATCCACCCATTCTTTCGAACAGTAAAATAATGTTACTGTTATCACTTACACATTAATTCTAATTGTTTTTGTTTTTGTAGCTAACTTGCATTGTTTGGGTGACTTCATATGTATGAGCGCTGGCAAAGGCCCAGGTGCCGTTTACAGCCTCTCCGAGTTTGTGCAAAACTTTTATAAATCGCCGCATGTTGGCGTGCAGCAGAACAAGTAAATTATCAATAACCACATATATACATATACTGACATTAGCTTAAAAAAATCATAACTATGTTAGAAAGTTTGTGTTAATGTCAAACTCGATGTCACAAACGATATACATTCAATCACAAAACAGTTAATTATAAATTGCATACATATTATATATACTTATATACATATATAACACACATATATATATAAATATAATATAATGTATTTTTATAGTCAGGTTAATATTAAATAAGAAAAATCTGTAAGTAAATAAACATTTACTCTTCCGACTCCTTAAACACCATCTGTAATCAAATTAAATTTTACACAGATTAAATTATGCTTATACGTATTTTATTCTATGTATGTATTCAAAGTGGCGAGAAAAAACCTAATAGCTAAGATTTTTATTCGTTTCTTTTTTTATGACATTCCAACAACAAAATTAAAATTAAAAATAAAACTCACCATTACGATTAAAATTGAAATGTTAACATAAATGTTCATTCATATATTCCAATTCAAATTGCATATACACACTAACTTACACTTTATAAATCAGAAATAAAATTTGACTAATCTTAAAGTAAACGCAAAGCATTGGTAAACGTACCCACTAATTAAATTACCCACTAATTAAATTTAATGGTAACTCATTTTATATTTTTCAAATGGCATAGCAACTTAAATTTAAAATTATGCAAAAAAAAGCCAACTTAAACAGTTTTTATACTGACATACGCCACGGAACATGACAGCTCAAGCATCAATTCGCGATGCCTTAGTGTATAATTTCCTTAGTCATTTTTATATACTTTGTTGTAATTACATATTGCATACTAATTTAATATTTGTGACACGCAAAGACTGATTCATTATACGCTCTACGGTACTAGTAAAAGGTAGGCAGAGCCACCTCAATTTACAACGCGAACACCCAGTAGTGGTAAATTCACATCATCAAATCGGCAAATTCTAATTTTTTACTTTTGGTTTTATTACTCTTAAAATAAGAACTTCCAACTCTGTGCTTAGCAAGCTTTACCCTTAAACTGTTACATTCAATAAGTTAACGATGTTCGTATTTTTATTACAAAGTAATTTTTACTCAATTTTATAAGACTCAACATAAACAAATAAAGATTAATACAACTTATATAAAAATATTAATGTATAATTCTTACATAAAATGCTGTGCAAAGTCTCAAAGTTAAACCTACACTTTTAATTATATAACTTAAAACAAAATATTCATTAACAAAACTATTAAAAGTTTAAAACGTCACTTGACGCTGGCAAAACTTTTTTTGCCTATGCTATGTATAAGTAACATAGGCAATGTTTGACACTTTGCTTAACTTGCTCATCACTCTCCTATAATAAAACGATGCAATCTTGTACAGCTTCTTTATTTCTAAATAAAATAAAAGCACAACAAAACCTTGAAAAAAAAATATGCATGAATACTATAAATAAATGCTTGTATGGATTAGGCAAATTTGTAAAGATTCTTCTCTTCCCGGTTTTCAAATCCTCCATAAAATATAATATTGGGAAACTATTATGTTAATATCGTTATGAAATATTATAAATGTATTCATACTATAAGCAAACAATATTAAATTGATGCGTCTTGTTACTCTTTTTATAATAATGTATATGGCATAAAGTACCGCATTAAGATGCTGATGAATGTTTACAAAGTCAACATAGCCAATACTATTTTCGATCATATCAAAATCACATGTATTTATTACATATAAATTGATTTATATTGTTTTTGGTTGAACTTTTCGTGTTAGGCAACGATCAGCTGAACCGGTACTTACTACATTATATTAAAACAAAGCGTACACATATATTTGTAATATAAAAATGCATTAAAATTGTCTTACACACTTGGTTCAAATTTGTGTACACCAAATGCATCCTGTAGTTAGATCAATTTTAATCCATATTTTAGGGGAATAAATGAAAAGCAGGTAAGAACATTGGGTCAAATGCAACCCATTCGGGAAAACTGTTGAAAATGGTATATGTAAAAACATGCAACTTAAAGGCAGTAAGCAACGTACCGCAAGTTATAAATTTTAGAGCGGGAGTTAGCGTGAGCCAAAGTACCGATAAACAAACTGACAGCCAACAAACATTGTTCAAAACCTGCGTACATGCGTACATGAATTAAAGGTAAACATGTGTGTAAAAATGTGCAATGCATGCTGTATTATAATTCGTTTGCTAAATATGTGTATACACACTTTTAACATAACATAAAATTAATAGCAATAGAAACGGCCGACTGTATTAAATCTTTTGAAATCGAGAAACAAGAATCTCAATATTTCAATAAAACTGAAATAACCAAATACATGTATTGGCTCTAGTCTTTGTTGTATTAATTATATGTATTATCTTACAAATTATCTATCGAACAAATCAATTGTACTATCGTATTATTTTTAAATATTTTTGCAAATCTGTAGTATTTATACAATTTATACTGAGTCAATGAAATAAAATTGTACTTTCTAATCTACGAAAATGTGACGCGAAAAAATGATAATAAATATAATTCACATTTTAAAGTTAACATACTTAATTTTAACCTTTATTTTAATATGTTTAGCTAGAAAATCATATCGTAAATAAGTAAGTTGCTTTTTAATAGTAACATGCGACGTGTGGCAACCAATCCTGCACCTGGGAAACAATATTTTGTGGTTTCTTTGGTTGGTGCAATTGTCAATTTGGCATGGGAAACATACTAGCAACTAAACAGTTTAGTTTATTAATTCTCGTTACGTTCGAATTAATAGTAAGACCTATTCTAGATGTATATAGTTTGTCCTGACAACCTCACGAAATTACTATCGTACGAGGTTTATATTCCGATATTTTCCCCATCGAGAGCATTCGATTAGTTTTGATATCGATAGTTCAACCGGCATTTAACTAGAGAAATGTATGTAATTAGCATCTCTAATTTTAATTATATTCAGTTTCCCTGCCAAGGCCGGAATTTTAATAATAATGTGTACCACCTTCAAGTATCAATTATTCTTTCAGTTTTCGATTATTATTATACACATGGACTCTTACTATTTCCGCCTAGACAAGTAATGGCATCGATAATGCTTACTACGAAGATATAAATAGCGTCCCATCTTGGACATTGTGAAATTTAAATAAGGTAAACTTACGAGTTCGCAAACATAGTTTATAAATAAGGCGGTCTCAAAGCCGTTTCCCTGTGTCCAGGCCGCTTACTATGACGACTGGTGCAAATAAAAACGCCGCTGCTGCTGTTCATCAAAGAGCTCTTATACTGTTTTTGCCTAGACAAACAATAGTATCGGTACTGCTTAGTCCGCATATATAATTGGCGTCCCATCTTGGTCATTGTGAAATTAAAATAAGGAAAGTTTACGAGTTTGAAAACAGTTTTTATAAATAAAGCGGTCACATAACTGTTTCCTTTTTGGCATAGGGCAGGCCGCCATAAGGCAACCGGACACATTTTTCTGTGACGACGGCTGAAAACACAAATTCCACTGCTGCTGTTGTCGCCGTTCTCGCCAGAGGTGCAAGGGAAGCATTTGAAGCAACTTCAGCTTCATGACAGTGCTGCCGCAGGAAAGGCTACTGCTATTTCATTTTGCTTTTACATGCGTGAGTAAGCTTTTGAAAATATGTATTACTTAATGTTATAAACATCTTATTTTGCCTTTAACAAGTGATGCTGTAGTCTTCCGCTGATAATGTCTCTGTTTGGTTGACGATAACGGCTTAGTCTGTTTGGATGGCGAGAATGGCTCAACAGGCTCAGGCTTCCACTGCTGCTGCTGATGCTCCTGAAGCCTCCCTTGGAAGGCCGACTGTGATGTAGCTGCTGACCACCCAGCCTATAACACCTGTTGGATGTCCGAAAGTGCTTACGGCTGCTGATGCATTTGTTGCTGCTACTCAGGCTGAAGCTGAAGTTTGAGTGGCCTCTGGGACGCATTTGATTACGTACAGGTCGATTTTGAGCCCGCAAAAAAACTAATTTTGTATTTAACAGGTGATGCTGATAATGCCTCACCGCTCAAAGTGTTCAGGCTGCTGCTGTCGCTTTAGGCTGCTTTTGTTACTTGGAATACGCCTCCATTTTCTTCTGCTGGTAAGTTAGAACTATAATTTTGTTTATTAATGGTTTTAGAAGCTTGACATACTGCATTTGAGGCAAATTGGCATAGTCTAAGCAACTACTTATAGAAAAATTTTGCTATATTTTATATATTTTTTAACAGGACGTAAACTTTGTTAAAAGCCGTATCTGCCTGTCAGCTTAGAGGATTTTTATGCAAACAAGCTTTGCAGTTTTGATGGTATTCTGATGAAGCTTACCTTAGTTTCATACATTCCCTATCGTTGGTACGTTTTGAAGTTTTATTCTGAAGTCGAGGTTTTCTGATTTATAAAAAATATATTTAATAAACTACTCTTTCTCATTTATTCTATAGATACAACTGATAGTATAGTATTAGTATTATCTTGAAGGTCGCTGCTGTTAACGCAGTCTTAACTGTTTGTAGCGATGACGAATCTTCTGGATGGGGCGATGCAGATATGATCATCCCCAAAAGAAATTTTTGTGTTCCATGGTTTGTTGTGGCACATTTGCATCCGGAAAGCAACATTTAAAATTTTATTTTTGATAATATAGCGCCTATGCGCAATTTATTTATACAGCTGAACCTTGACATCCCCAATGCTCGAGTGCAACCTGGATAATATAAAAAGCGTTTAAATTAAATCCATTTAAATATTAAAGTTAATGAATTTAATTTTAACTTTACGAAAACTCAATAGTACAATATTATTTAATTCCTATAAAATATTTCTATAATTTTGAATAGTAGTTATTCGTTGTTTTTAAACTTTTCTGTTACCAACAGAGATAAAATGGTAAAATCCGGCTGATAGAAGTATAAGAGCAACGCCCTACTTAACAAATTCTATCGGGTAATAATTTCAAATAAACGAGGTTCAGCTGTATATTATGTATCTTTTTTATATTTATATATTTGAGTACAAACGTGAACAGGTCGACAAAAAGACTCGAAGAAAGACAAATTTAAAATAGCAAAAAACTTTACTTAATTTTGTTAAGCTTTAACACTTAGACCAAAAATTTCCTGATAAAACACCGCATCTGACTTATTTATATATATATTTGAAATGCATGCATATTAACATTTTTCGCGAAAAGCGTAAGAAAGACAATTATAAATATGTTGTACGTTTGTATTATAATATCTTGAAAAAGAAGCTTAGACAGATATAATTGTGTGGGTAGACACAAATAGGAAAGGAAATACAATTTTATATATATATATTCTTATATATTTTATAATTTTTATTAATATTTACATAGAAAGAGACAAAAGACTAGGACAGAGGTAATGATAATATAACAGGCAACTGTATCGTTTTTGTACGTATGTGTATATATTGATATCTTTCGAACACGGCTTAAACATACAAAAAATAATCCTGGATTAAACCATCGATTTGGGTCAAAATTTAGATTTTCTATTTTTTGATGCCAGTCGATAGTACTGATCCTTTCGAGTCCAAAATGGTATAAAATTTGAAAATCGGATACTATTTGGCCGAGATATTCAAAAAAATCATCAAAAAAGGTTTGATTTTCGAACCGAACCCGATTTTGATAAAAATCGTGATGTAACCCCTTGCCATTTTGGTCGATTTGGGTCAAAATTTAGATTTTCTATTTTTTGATGCCAGTCGATAGTACTGATCCTTTCGAGTCCAAAATGTTATAAAATTTGAAAATCGGATACTATTTGGCCGAGATATTCAAAAAAATCATCAAAAAAGGTTTGATTTTCGAACCGAACCCGATTTTGATAAAAATCGTGATGTAACCCCTTGCCATTTTGGTCGATTTGGGTCAAAATTTAGATTTTCTATTTTTTGATGTCAGTCGATAGTACTGATCCTTGCGAGTCCAAAATGGTATAAAATTTGAAAATCGGACATTATTTGGCCGAGATATTCAAAAAAATCATCAAAAAAGGTTTGATTTTCGAACCGAACCCGATTTTGATAAAAATCGTGATGTAACCCCTTGCCATTTTGGTCGATTTGGGTCAAAATTTAGATTTTCTATTTTTTGATGCCAGTCGATAGTACTGATCCTTACGAGTCCAAAATGGTATAAAATTTGAAAATCAGACACTATTTGGCCGAGATATTCAAAAAAATCATCAAAAAAGGTTTGATTTTCGAACCGAACCCGATTTTGATAAAAATCGTGATGTAACCCCTTGCCATTTTGGTCGATTTGGGTCAAAATTTAGATTTTCTATTTTTTGATGCCAGTCGTTAGTACTGATCCTTACGAGTCCAAAATGGTATAAAATTTGAAAATCGGACACTATTTGGCCAAGATATTCAAAAAAATCATCAAAAAAGGTTTGATTTTCGAACCGAACCCGATTTTGATAAAAATCGTGATGTAACCCCTTGCCATTTTGGTCGATTTGGGTCAAAATTTAGGTTTTCTATTTTTTGATGCCAGTCGATAGTACTGATCCTTACGAGTCCAAAATTGAAGATCGGACACTATTTGGCCAAGATATTCAAAAAAATCATCAAAAAAGGTTTGATTTTCGAACCGAACCCGATTTTGATAAAAATCGTGATGTAACCCCTTGCCATTTCGGTCGATTTGGGTCAAAATTTAGGTTTTCTATTTTTTGATGCCAGTCGATAGTACTGATCCTTACGAGTCCAAAATGGTATAAAATTTGAAAATCGGACACTATTTGGCCGAGATATTCAAAAAAATCGATAGTACTGATCCTTACGAGTCCAAAATTGGAGTTATGTCGTTTTCAAACGTTATATCTTCCGCGGATATATGTCGTTTTTAGAGCGGCGGAGTTATGTCGCTTCAAAACGACATAATCTCGCCATGATCAGCGGTGGAGTTATGTCGTTTTCAAACGTCATAATTTCGCCAGAAAGCATACAAATTCAAAAAGGTATAATATTTGAAAATCAGACACTATTTGGCCAAGATATTCAAAAAAATCATCAAAAAAGGTTTGATTTTCGAACCGAACCCGATTTTGATAAAAATCGTGATGTAACCCCTTGCCATTTTGGTCGATTTGGGTCAGAATTTAGATTTTCTATTTTTTGATGCCAGTCGATAGTACTGATCCTTACGAGTCCAAAATGGTATAAAATTTGAAAATCGGACACTATTTGGCCGAAATATTCAAAAAAGTCATCAAAAAAGGTTTGATTTTCGAACCGAACCCGATTTTGATAAAAATCGTGATGTAACCCCTTGCCATTTCGGTCGATTTGGGTCAAAATTTAGGTTTTCTATTTTTTGATGCCAGTCAATAGTACTGATCTTTACGAGTCCAAAATGGTATAAAATTTGAAGATCGGACACTATTTGGCCGAGATATTCAAAAAAATCGATAGTACTGATCCTTACGAGTCCAAAATTGGAGTTATGTCGTTTTCAAACGTCATATCTTCCGCGGATATATGTCGTTTTTAGAGCGGCGGAGTTATGTCGCTTCAAAACGACATAATCTCGCCATGATCAGCGGTGGAGTTATGTCGTTTTCAAACGTCATAATTTCGCCAGAAAGCATACAAATTCAAAAAGGTATAATATTTGAAAATCAGACTTTATTTGCCCGACATATTAAAAAAAAAATCATCAAAAAAGGTTTGATTTTCGAACCGAACCCGATTTTGATAAAAATCGTGATGTAACCCCTTGCCATTTTGGTCGATTTGGGTCAAAATTTAGATTTTCTATTTTTTGATGCCAGTCGATAGTACTGATCCTTACGAGTCCAAATGGTATAAAATTTGAAAATCGGACACTATTTGGCCGAAATATTCAAAAAAATCATCTAAAAAGGTTTGATTTTCGAACCGAACCCGATTTTGATAAAAATCGTGATGTAACCCCTTGCCATTTTGGTCGATTTGGGTCAAAATTTAGGTTTTCTATTTTTTGATGCCAGTCGATAGTACTGATCTTTACGAGTCCAAAATGGTATAAAATTTGAAGATCGGACACTATTTGGCCGAGATATTCAAAAAAATCGATAGTACTGATCCTTACGAGTCCAAAATTGGAGTTATGTCGTTTTCAAACGTCATATCTTCCGCGGATATATGTCGTTTTTAGAGCGGCGGAGTTATGTCGCTTCAAAACGACATAATCTCGCCATGATCAGCGGTGGAGTTATGTCGTTTTCAAACGTCATAATTTCGCCAGAAAGCATACAAATTCAAAAAGGTATAATATTTGAAAATCAGACTTTATTTGCCCGACATATTAAAAAAAAAATCATCAAAAAAGGTTTGATTTTCGAACCGAACCCGATTTTGATAAAAATCGTGATGTAACCCCTTGCCATTTTGGTCGATTTGGGTCAAAATTTAGATTTTCTATTTTTTGATGCCAGTCGATAGTACTGATCCTTACGAGTCCAAATGGTATAAAATTTGAAAATCGGACACTATTTGGCCGAGATATTCAAAAAAATCATCTAAAAAGGTTTGATTTTCGAACCGAACCCGATTTTGATAAAAATCGTGATGTAACCCCTTGCCATTTTGGTCGATTTGGGTCAAAATTTAGGTTTTCTATTTTTTGATGCCAGTCGATAGTACTGATCCTTACGAGTCCAAAATGGTATAAAATTTGAAAATCAGACTATTTGGCCGAGATATTCAAAAAAATCATCAAAAAAGGTTTGATTTTCGAACCGAACCCGATTTTGATAAAAATCGTGATGTAACCCCTTGCCATTTTGGTCGATTTGGGTCAAAATTTAGATTTTCTATTTTTTGATGCCAGTCGTTAGTACTGATCCTTACGAGTCGAAAATGGTATAAAATTTGAAAATCGGACACTATTTGGCCGAGATATTCAAAAAAATCATCAAAAAAGGTTTGATTTTCGAACCGAACCCGATTTTGATAAAAATCGTGATGTAACCCCTTGCCATTTTGGTCGATTTGGGTCAAAATTTAGGTTTTCTATTTTTTGATGCCAGTCGATAGTACTGATCCTTACGAGTCCAAAATGGTATAAAATTTGAAAATCAGACTATTTGGCCGAGATATTCAAAAAAATCATCAAAAAAGGTTTGATTTTCGAGCCGATCCCGAATTTGATAAAAATCGTGATGTAACCCCTTGCCATTTTGGTCGATTTGGGTCAAAATTTAGATTTTCTATTTTTTGATGCCAGTCGATAGTACTGATCCTTGCGAGTCTAAAATGGTATAAAATTTGAAAATCGGACACTATTTGGCCGAGATATTCAAAAAAATCATCAAAAAAGGTTTGATTTTCGAACCGAACCCGATTTTGATAAAAATCGTGATGTAACCCCTTGCCATTTTGGTCGATTTGGGTCAAAATTTAGATTTTCTATTTTTTTGATGCCAGTCGATAGTACTGATCCTTACGAGTCCAAAATGGTATAAAATTTGGAAATCGGACACTATTTGGCCGAGATATTCAAAAAAATCATCAAAAAAGGTTTGATTTTCGAACCGATCCCGAATTTGATAAAAATCGTGATGTAACCCCTTGCCATTTTGGTCGATTTGGGTCAAAATTTAGATTTTCTATTTTTTGATGCCAGTCGATAGTACTGATCCTTACGAGTCCAAAATGGTATAAAATTTGAAGATCGGACACTATTTGGCCGAGATATTTAAAAAAATCGATAGTACTGATCCTTACGAGT